TTCCAGTGGGTGAAGGAGTCTCTTCCTCTCTTGGTGGGTATGGGACCGAGATTCCCTTCCAGTGGGTGCAAGCAGGTCCAATAGTCTAATGGCTCTCCTTTTCCCATGGATGGAGATGGGCCTAGTACCAGGGCCTTGGCAGTCTCTGGGTGGGCTGGACCATCAGCATGGGTTCCCCAATGCACAGTCCCCAGGCCTCAGGTGGCTCCTGGTAGGGCACCAGAAGGCAAGTAGGAAACAGGCCCACACTTATCTCATCCCTTGAGCGAAGAAATGGATTATGATGCTGGCAGTCTCTGGGTGGGCTGGACCCTGCCAGGAAGGGATCCGCAGTGCATAGTCCCCAGGCCTCAAGAGGGTCCCCCAAACTGCCTTTTAAGTATTTGCTTAAAGATGTATAGCAATGCGAATCTCAGTCTTAATGTGAGAAGCCTCTCTATACAGTCCAGTTACACCTGCTCTAATTGCTAAGAATAAGTGACTTGTAAGTGTTAAATCCTATACTAGACATTTGCAACAACCCCTAAGGCTCAGAGAACATTGCAGAAGAGGAGAGTGGAACGAGTATTGGAGTTGGAAGGAAGAGAGAAGTGCTGAAAAAATGTCATCTTGTGAAAACACGACCATGACAACCTTGAGCTCATAGCAGCTGAAGTCATTTGTGCTGGATCTGCACAAGACTAACTCTAAGCAAGAAGTTATGGGCATGGGAGGGCACCCTTCTCTCCTGGTGGAACTATTGGGTGTTAAAATGTCTGGAAGATTGGAAGCCATGGCCTTCACTTTTGTACCAACTGGCAACCCACACCCAAGCTCCAGTAATTTAAAACCCATGATCAAAGTGAAGGCCCCAGCTTCCCTCATGAACTCCTTAGATGACAGAAAAGGAAGTCACATTTTCTGTCATTCCTAGAATATAGTTTTTCAAATTTTTTGATCATTTATTACATGTATATAATGAGCTTTTGATCCATTCACCCTAATTAAGTGTTCTAACCCCTCGTGCTCCTATTGGAACCTCTTCCCAATAGTCCCTCCTCCTACTTTCACACCTTCTTTGTGACTCACTGAGTTCAATTATGATTCTTCGCATAAGCGTGAGTGGGAGTCATTTACTGAGATATGGACAATCTATTATTAGCTACAACACTGAAATGAATCTCTCTCTCTCACAGAGAGAGACAGAGTCAGAGACAGAGACAGAGAGAGAGAGAGAGAGAGAGAGAGAGAGAGCAACCACTGCTCGTAATCTTTCTGTCAGGTATGAGTTCCCCACTGGATAATGGGTGGTGATGAGCATAACTTTATGCAGAACTTGTGTAGGTAATAACAGCTGCAATAAATTCATGAATGCAACAACAGAGTCTTATAAAAATTCTTGTCCTCTGAATCTTACCTTCTTTGGGTCCTCTCTTCACAATATACCCTGAACCTTAGTGTGAGTGATGTATCTGTTCTGTTCAGGACCAAGCACTCGGTATTAGTTACCTTTCTGTTGCTATATAAAACGCCATGGCTAGGGCAAATTGTAGAAGAAAGGGTTTCTTTGTGCTTATTTTTCCAAATAGTTAAAGTCTATGGCAGTGGATAGTATGGCATCAGACATGATTGCTGGAATAGAGAAAATGAAAGCTCACATCTTTTACCTCAACCACAAAGCAGAAGAGTGACCTAGACGTTGAAGAAGTGTTTAAACTCTCAAAACGAAACTCCAGTGACATATTTCCTCCAACAAAGCTGCACTTCCTAAACATCCCAAACAATGTCACCATGTGGGAACTATGTGTTCAAATATCTGAGTCTGTGGGGAATGTTTCTCTATCAAACATCCACATTATATTTCCTAGCCCCGAAATGTTAATGACCATATCATAATTCAAAATTTCCCCATAGTCTTTCACAGTCTCAACACGGTTTAAAGGCCCAAAGTCGGTTCTGAGACTCAAGGTAATCTCTTAATTATAAATCCTTTTAAAATAAAATTAAAAAACAATTTACATATTTCCAACATGTAATGGCTCAAAATACACCTTACCATTACAAGAAAGAAATGGGAGCATAATAATAAAATTCTGGATGAAAGAAAGACCAAACCCCAGCAAAGCAAACACTAAAACCTCTAGTTCCTTGTCTGATCGCCAGCCATGCTGCCAGCAACATACATCTTTCTCTTGGGATGGTCCTACTCCTATATGCAGCTTCCTTGACAGATCTCTCTCATATCTGAGACCTCCAACAGCATGGGGTCTCCACTGAAACCAAGGCTTCATATTCACAACTTCACATAATGGCCTCTCTGGGCCTCCTGCTCCATCAGGGTCTATACACATGGACTTCTGTACCACGTGCTGCCTGCCCTTGGCAACTATCATAAACCATGGACAAACCACTCTCACCCCCATATGTCCCTAAAGACAACACCACATTGTAATTGGCCACAATTTTAGAATGCACCCTCCCCCTACCCTCATTCACATTAGCACCAATATTTGTTCACCAGATTTTTAGGAACAAAAATAATTAACCTTAGGTTCTTTCCCAAGGATCTTGACCTGAGACCACTCTTCTCTTTATTCCAAAGCAGATAACTCTTCATAATGGCACTAATCTCCCTAACCATCACATCCTCTCTTTTAACAAAGGCCTTGTCCTCCCAGTGTTCTTTCTCTTCAAACCACGTTGTTTACTTCTTTCTGCCCCACTTGCTCTTTTCCATTCTACAACTATGTAAGAGTTATTGATAATGAAGATGCCAGGGACTTGATATTAGGCTGTCTTGAACTTTCCCTCATCAAATGAATTAGTCTATTACTTTTTAAATTAACCTTGAGCATGTTTTTAGGACAAAGGCAGAGGCAAACATAATTTTTTCCCAAAATATCACAGGAATGGCCTCTAACCCAGTTGCTGCTATTGTTCCTTTCTGCAACCTCTTGAGCTGCCCAACAGTACCCATTGTTTCAGCTCCACTGTCTTCCAGGCTGTTACTAGGAAGGTCTTTTCATCTCTGCCTACAGCATTCGATGGTTTTTTATTCCAAAGTTCCAAAAACTACCACATTCCTCCATAAAAAAACATGAATAGGTTCTTCACATCAATACTTCCCTCCTGATAACAACTTCTGTGTTAGTTACTTTTTTATTGCTTTGATAAAACACTGTAACCAAGGCAACTTCCAGAAGACAGAGTTTATTTCATCTTACAGTTCCAGAGGTTCAGAGTCCACAATTTTGAGGCTAGCATGGCAGCAAGAAATAAGTCTGATTACCAAGTAGAGCATGAGGCTGAGAGTAGCTGACACCCTCTATCTCACTCAGAGCTAGGAAACTGGAAGTGATATGGATCATTAAACTCTCAAAGGCCACACCCAGTAGCAAATTCCTACAACAAGGCAGCATCTCCTAACACCCCCCCAAAGAGTAACAGCAGCTGGGGACCAAATGCTCAAATGTCTGTGCTTATGAGGGACATTTCATCATTCAAATCGCTTTGTGCTTCAGTCACTTGTTATTAGTATTTTAACCAGTTGAGAACCTCTGCTCATTCCAAGAAATGTCTCTAACGACTGCTGAAAGCAGCACGATCTATCAGTGTCAGCATAAGTATTAGAGAGCAGTTTGACACCACATCCACTCAGCAAAATAACAGAAAGGCATTACCTTTAGGGTCAAAGGCCTCTTGAGCCATAAGTAGCAGCTATGAATTTCCTCCTATGGTGTGTGCTTCAAATTCACCATAACATTTATGCTACTATTATACCAGTGAGTATATCTCGGCAGGAAGGTCATTATTATAGTCAAGGTAATTGCAACTAGATAGGACCAGTGATGATTTTGCTTCTCCAACAGCATCCATGGTGTCCACCACTGAAGGCTAGCCTGGAGTAAGGACTTCCAGCTCAGTTCTAACTTGGTGTCTTCAACAATAGTATCTCAGTTATGGACAAGTAGAAACAATGGCAGCAACCTGTATTGTTTGGGGGAATCTCTGCGCCTTCCTGGAAAACAACTTATAAAATGTTCTCTATACCCAATACTGGGATTTTGGCTTAACAATCTTGGGCTTTTAAGGGGAGCAATATTCAATCATGAGAGATGCCTCCACTCAAATACTGAGATAGCAGAGATGTACCACAATGCCCACTTTTATGCAGAACAGGGATCAAACCCAGGATTTCACTCATGCTAGGCAACTCAATCAACTGAGATAGATCCCTGCCCCCAAAACTACTTAAGTGTCTAGGTGATATTAAAACTATTCTTGAAACTTTACATAAAGAATCTCATCTAACACCCCAAGGTATTCAAAGCCTCATTTCAGACACTCTCTGGGCAATGTACAGGTTACTTTTTGTCAATTTGACACAAATGAGAGTCACTTGGGAAGGGGTAACCACAGTTGAAAATTATATCCATCAGATTGGCCCATGAGCAAGTCTGTGGGAATTTTATTGACCAATGATTTCTGTGGGAGGGCCCAGCCCACTGTGGACAGTATGACCCCTGGTCAGGTTGTCCTGGGTTGTATAAGAATGAAAGCTGAGCAAGCCATGTAAAATAAGTCAATAAGCGTATTCCTCCACAGTCTCCTTTTCATTTCCCACCTCCAGGTTCCAACCTTGAGTTCTTGATTTGGCTTCCTTCAGTGGTGGCCTGTAACATGTAAACTTTTGTCACAGCAATAGAAAGAAAAGCAGGATGGGTTATTCTGACAATAAATAGATATGGCTAACTTTTTTTAGACAAACTGGCAATTGCCAGGTTTTCTGTCATTTACCGATTATTTTGGTGCTTGTGATTGAGAACTACTGTCTGTTGAACAGATTAATGTTTTCAGAAATGTTATAATATTTTAGCTATTCATGGGCTGCCACTTGTCCTACATTCTTGATAATTATGTTAAAGTTGTTTTATACATCAAGGAGTTAAACTATACGAGACTTTCCCTAACACTTGTCTTTACTCTGGTACCAACTTCATAAGATAATTCAACTTTTTTAGCTGCACCCGTTTCTGAAGAACATGCAGTTTAATAATCCTGCTGGAGAACAAGTGAATTTGGATGAGAAAATGAAATTGAATGCTGACTATGACATTCTCAACTACTGGAACTTTCCAGAAGGTCTTGGACTTAAGGTGAAAGTTGGACAGTTTTCCCCGTATGATCCATTTGGTCAACAGTTATCTTTATCCGAGGACATGATAGAATGGGCCACAGAAATTACAGAGGTGAGTTGGGTATAGTTGTAACTCTATGAATTACACATACTAGAACAAATCTCGCTCAGGATCCCCTAAACAAAAAGCTATCTGCAGTGGACACCTTCTTGCAAAGGAAACAGTGATGTCTTTCAGTGGAGTCTCCCTTCAGGGCAGACTCCATACCCAAGAAACTCAGGGTTATTTTTGTAGAATTTTTATGCCATATTTCTTTTTGTCTTACTGGTCTTTTGCATTATGTGTACGTGTCTCTTGTGGGTTTTGTTTGTTTCTGTTTCGTTTGCTTGTTTTTAAACAGAGAGAAAGAAAGGGCATGAAGTTGAATGAGTGGGGAGTTGGGGGAGATCTGAGAGGAGATACATCATCAGAATATGTCAATTGAAAAAGCTTTTGAATGTTTTCATATTATATTACATATTTTTCTGTATTTTTCTCTTGCCTGAGTTTTTATGATTTTTTGATATACTGATATTTTAAAGTTTTCCATATAAACTTTTAAAATATTATTGAGTATTAAAAATAATATAAATACATATAATATTACATGCTGTTTTTTGTGGGCCCATATAAAATTTAGGATAGTCCTATTTCTGAGAAGAATAAAATAGGGATTTCAATTGGTATTGCACTGAATCCATAAATAGTTTTAAGGAGTATGGTCATTTCCACAATATTAATTCTACCAATCCTTGAGCATGGGATGTCCTAACATCTTTTGGGGGGAAGTCAATTACAATAACAAATACAGTAATTGGAAAGAAATATTGATGCTAACTTGCGGTAGATGACACCTTTGTATTTTCCTCTTTTTTTTCCTAACATGGTTCAGAGATAGCACCAATAGAATATTGGGGAAAATATACTTCACATGTTTTTAGAGCTAAGGGTGTGATAATTACTTATATAGCAAAATGAGTTTGGAATTGTGGAAATGAGAGAAGAGAGAGTAAAGTATGAATGAGAAGCGCAGTGCATGGTGTAGGGCATGAATGATACTAGAGAAAATATTTCACAGGAGTTCACCAAGGCTGTGACGGGGTGTTTTCTGCTCAGGCAATTGACTCCAGGATGACCAGGGAGAATCTCAGCTAAAACTCCTCTGCCTCATTTCTTCTGCTCACCCACTGCTTGCAACTCTGTACATTGGGCTGACATGTTCCAGCCTGCTGTTTTCTAGTGTCCATAACCAACAGTGCCTCACTGGCTGCTACTTTTGTCCTTGACCAGTGCAAGCAAGATGCTGAAACAGTGCCTGCTTGACTGTTCCTGTTGGAAACAAAACTTCCATACTGGCTTATTTCTTTTTCTGATAAAGGTAGAATCTTTTTTATTTTTACTGTGACTTCTATCTTTCACTGAATCTCACAGAGGCAGCTTTTAATCCATTATATTATCCAGAAATTTCTTGAACCATATATGTGCTTTTACAATTTTATACTTCCAATTTAAGTAAGAGAATTTTCTTACATACTGTATGTAACTAGAGCATGTTGGTTGACAAATATGCATCTAAATGCTTACACATTTCCTGTCAAAATATTCACACCCTCTGTTGTGGGATTTCATTACTGACATATCTCTAGGTTGAGTTTGGTGGTTTCTGAGATCCATTTAACCATTACTTTTGAGTCTGAGATAAGGCACCATAATGTGGTTCGCAGCAGTAGAAACCACTCATCTCTTAGCAGCCAGGTAGCAAAACTAGAGGTAGGATGAGTCAATTGTCCCAGTATGCCTTCCAATGGCCAGCCTCCAATCACTAACTTCCTCACCTTTAAAAAATATTTTATATTTATTTTTCATTATTTGTAATCTGCATATTGAGTGCAGGAGCCCACGGAAGCCAAAGAAGGCTGTTGGGTTTCCTGAAGCTGGAGGTCCAGGCAATTTCGAGCCATGTAATGTGGGAGCCAAATTCAGAACCTCTGAAAGAGCATTCCATGCTGTCAATACTGAGCCATTTCTCCAGCCCCAAGTTCGCTCCACTGAAAGGCTTCACCATGTCCCAGAAACACCACATGTTGAAGGTCATCACCACTAAGGGGGCATGTGATGATCAAGCTATAGTGACATCTGATCAGTTGATTATTTATGGATACAAAAGCTATATTCATTAATGATCCAACTCTATGAACAGCATACTTAATAAAGTAGTAAGCAAACATGTGAAACATGTGAATTGTAACTTGCTCACATCTGATTTTCCTCAGACTCCCCAGTCTGTATGCAGTGAAAGCTGTGGTCCTGGATACAGAAAATCCCTCCCAGAAGGAAAGGCGGCTTGTTGTTTTGTCTGCACTCCATGCCCAGAGAATGAGATTTCCAATGAGACGGGTAAGTGTGAGTTTTATGGAGAAATTCTCGACTTCTAATTAATCATCTTTTTTTGAGGCTTCTGGGCATCTGGACTCAGATTCTCACATTTGCACTGCAGACACTTCACAGCTAATCCATCCCCCTCGTCTGAGATGTTTATTAATAAGAAAAAGAAAATTAAGTAAAGTGTAGTCGTGCACACCTTCTGCACCCAGGAGGCAGAGGCAGGCTGATCTCTGTGAGTTTACAACCAGACTGTTCTACATAGCAAGTTCCAGGACAGCCAGGGCTACACAGGGAGAACTGTTTAAAAAGTAATTTTAATAACAAATAAATTTCCTTCACACTGATGTTTTAGGATGCTATCACGGAGCTAAGAGGGATGCAGCCTACATTCATCAGTGATTCCCTGTGTGTCTTCTGAGGTGGAGTGCAACATACAGGGTGTGACTAGCCCGTTTCACACTCACATTCTCACACTCTCTTAAGTCTGGGTACACAAAAGGTAGTTAGCTGACCTGGTTTGAACCTGAAAGTAGTTGAAATTCCTCTCTACTTCTTTATGTACTGGAAAGAGCTGGTCGGGGGCAAACGTTCCCCTATGGGGTATGTCTGAATACGGACAAGGAGTGACAGATCTTCAAAGATCAGTGCTGGGAGAGGGAAGAAGAACAAACATGATCTGCCAACCGCAGTCCTGGAGCCCTCACACTAGCTTAACACATAGGCAGTCCTAGACCCCATAACTCTCAGAAGGGATTAATCCATTTTCAGAGGAAGCACCTTTCACCTCATTCTGTGAGTCTGAATTCCCCACAGTACAGAACTCTTAACAGGTCTATGTCGGATGTATGCCCCAGAACCAGGCCTGTCACATGAGTGACCACCCACTGACCATTCCAGAAATAAGAAAAGGCAGGTGTTTCTGACCACAGGGAAGCTCAGACAATAGTACCTTTCTCAGCCGGCATCTCATACTGCACATTGAGAATCTGCAGAGTAACACAGAGGCATCTTCATCTAAATGACCATGATTGACAGGTCTTGGGTGTCTTGACTTTTGAGACTGTAGTCTGGAGAGGGTTAGATTCTGCTCCAATAGAGCTAGCTCTCCTGCAGCAATATTGTCACAATATGGGCGCTAGGTCCTAGGTCCTCTTTTGATGACCATTTCACTATGAAAAATCTCTGGGTTGCACCAGGCTAGAGCTTTCTTGTTGAATCCTGGAGCTTTCATGTAGCTATCCCTGTTAACATACATCCAGCCAATGCTGTTTCAGTTTCATCTAGTTGGAAAGTATGAGAGGACTCTCTGCCTCTTTTTCACTATATTCCCTCTTTCCTGATATTCTTCACACCTTTAAAAATGAAATGAAACACACTCATCAATTACTGAATACTAATATTTGATAAACATTATGGAAATTGCAAGATTAATGATTAATGGAATCTAGTATTGCAAAGATAAGTAGAAATGGCAAACTATAACATAGTCCCAATTCATTTAGTATTGAAATTCCAAATGATGCATGGTGGAACATAGCGAAGACTCAGGGAATCAGAAGGCAAAGGTAGAAGAATGGTTTCAGACCAAGAGTTCAAAACCAGCATGGGCAACACAGTGAGACATGTCTTTGAAACAGTTTTAAATGGCTTCATATACAAGCCATTGGGCAATGGCAATATCAACAGATATACTAACTCAGAAGGGTGAATTACCATGGGGTCCCACCCCAAAAAAAGAACCGGTGGCAAGGCAACTGGTGACTGCTGAAATGGAGAATTAGCCTCTTCCTGAGGATGAGACCCATGATTGCCTGTCTAATACAAACAATCAGCCCTGAAACCATGTACACAGACAAGAGAAATGCTCTTGGCAGGTTGTATTTGTATATGTGTCCACTGATATGTATATATGTAAGTGTGTGTGTGTGTGTGTGTGTGTATCATTGATAAGGGAAAGAAACTATCAATTTGAGAGTCTGGAGACATGGGGGGAGTTGGGAGCAGGAACATTGGAGGAAGGGACTAGAGAGAATAAAGGGAAGGGGATAAACAATATAACTATATTGTTTGAAATGTAAAAGCATTAAATGAGTATCTTTAAATGAGGCTCTATAGTTAAGAACATTTGCTTGCTCTTTCAGAGGACAGACTTCAGTTCCTAGAACTCATCAGGTGGTTCACAACTACCCATAATAGTCCAGTTCCATGGGAGCCAATGCCACTGGCTTTCATGGGCACCTGCACTCATATGTATATCCCCATATGCAAACACACATTCCTTACACATACTTTAAAATAATAGAAATATTTTTAAAAAGAAAAGAGGTAGCAAGAATGTTTTCTGTTTTTAGAGGCATCATTAGGACTTCTGTTGCTGTGAAGAGAAGCCATGACCATGACAACTCTTAAGAAGGAAAACATTTAATTGGGGCTGGCTCACAGTCCAGAGGTTTAGTCCCCTGTCATCGTGGTAGGAAGCATGGTGGCACAGAGGCATACATAGTACTAGAGACACAGCTAACAATTCTACATCTGAATCTGCACAAGGCAGAAAAAGGACTGAGTGACACACAGTGAGACCTCAATGTCCACCCCCTAGTGACACACTTCCTCCAACAAAGCCATACCTACTCCAATGAGGCCACACCTCCTAATAGTGTCACTCCTTATGGTCCTATGGGGAGGACATTTTTATTCAAACCACCACAATTTTTTAAACACTGGACTTAACTCCATTACATTTCCTGGTGCTCTTTTTCTCCTCAAACTGTACATTTTGTAGTTTTCCTTATTCAGCTACTACATTTCATTATTGATCTGTGTAAGAGTTACTACTAATAACCGTATAGCACAGTCAATGCTAGGTTGTCTTGAAATCTCTTCTGCCAGTGCCATTAAACCAAGATTCTTCAATTTAGCATCAGGCAGATTTTTGGACAAAAGCAAAAAGCAGTCACATTCTTCTTCAAAATACCACAAGAACATTCTCTAGGTTATTTACTAATATTCTCCTCCTCTGAAACCTCTTGAGACGGGCCATCAAATCTACATTGTTTGCAGCATCACTGTCTTCAATGCTCCTACTAGGATGACCCATTAAGCCCCACCTATATCATCCAACCACTTTCCTAGTCTGAAGTAGCAAAGTCTTCCACATTGCTCCAACAACCATGGTCTGCCTGGTCACAGCAGCACCCTACTCCTGATTATCAACTTCTGTCTTGGTCATTATTCTAATTCTGTGAATCAATACTGTAACCACAGCAGCTCTTATAAGAGGAAGCATTTAACTGAGGCTTGCTTACAGGTTCAGAGGTTTAGTCCGTTATCATTGTCGCAGGAAGCAGTGTGGAATGCAGGCAGACATGGTGCTGGAAGAGTAGCTGAGAGTTATACATCTGTATCTGCGGGCAGCTGGGAGAGAGCCACTTGGCCTGGCTTGGGCTTTTGAAACTTCAATGCCTACTCCCAATGACACACTTTCTCTAAAACACCTCCTAATCCTTCTGAAGTAGTGCCACTCCCTGACATCTAAGTGTCCAAATGTGTGTGGCCTTTGAGGACCATTGTTAGTTGAACCACCACAGCACACATGGCATGCAAGTGAAAATCAGAAGGCAACTTTGGGAGATAAGTCCCCTCCTTTCACGTTGTAGGTTCTAAGCACCAAACTCAAGTAGTCAGGCTTGCAGGGTGAGTGCCTTTCCCCACTAAATAATATTGCTAGGCCCTGCCAATGGATGTTTTATCAAAGCTCAGACCGCATCACCAGTGGTACCCTTCAGCTTTTACCTAAGTGTGGTGGTGTACACTGAACTAGAGTTCAGGTCAGCTTCTGTGGACATTCTGTGGGCCCTTGCTTTCTTAGTACATGAGATAGATTTTAGAGACAGGATAGCCAAGTTTTCTACTTTCCTAAGCAGAATGGTGATGGTGCTGATGCTGCTAGTATGTGTGTGTTCATGTGTGTGAAAATATATGTGTACATGTGTGGGTGAATGTACTCATCTGTATAGAAGCTGGAGGCCAAGGTTGGTATCTTCTTCAATGACTGTCTACCTCCTTCTTTTGAGACATGATCTCTTACTGAACTGGGAGCTTGACAATTTGGTTACATTAGCTAACAAGCAAGCCCCAGAGACCTTCCTGTCTCTGCCAAATCAGTAGAAGAGATTAACAAGAGAACGTCTTCAGGAAAAGGGAAGATAATGAAAAAATGAGAATACTAAAAATTAAATTTCGGGGCTGGAAAGATGAATCAGTGGTTAAGAGTACTGGCTGCGCTTCCAAAGGACCCAGGTGCAGTTCCCAGCTCCCATGTGGAAACTCTAGTTCATGGGGGATCTGACTCCCTTTTCTTACTCTTGCGGATACTGCGCACATGTGGTGCACAAACACACATCCAGCAAAACACACAGACAACGTAAAATAAAACAAATTAAAACTTAAAATTGTTAAACTAAATTTTAGAACTGTTTAGAAGTTTGATAACCATAGGATAAAAACTGAAAAAATATTAATACTTGCAATGGAGTCATTGAAATTTTAATAATATGAAATATGATATAAATAGTTTCATATTCACATACTTGAAATTCTAGGTGAATTGACAAGCAGAAAGGAAATAAAAATTAACAACTGCCCCAACAATACATGATTAAATTATCAGGAGCCCACTACCTAGGGACTGTAGCAATGTCTCAGCGGTTAAGAACACTTGCTGCTCTTGCAGACCTGAGTTCAGTTCTCAGCACACACATCAAGTTGGTCACAACTATCCATAACTCCAAGTCCAGGGGACCAAAGGCCACCTTCAATCATGTGTACAAGCCCACACACATGCACACTTACACATAATTAAAATTTTAAGTCTTCCTTAATAAAAATTAATCTATAAAAAAAGAATCCAATGTCTATAAATGAAGTGAATTCTTTCCCACATTTTTTATGTTGACACTTTTAAACAGTCTGCTTTTCGTTGTTTGTAGTTATTTTCCAGAAACAATCTCATGAGGGCCAAGCTGTTCCCCTTGCCAAATAGCTGAGTCTGGCCTTAACTCCTATTCCTCCTGACTCCACCTCCCAATGGCAAGGACTACAGATGTGCACCACCATGTGACAAACTGTTAGAATGCAGTACTTACTCATTAAACCCCTTCAGACAGAAGAAAGGCAACCAGGGAAGTCAGTTCACCTTTGAACCCCATATCTGAGAACACCGTTAAAAGGAGAGAGCTTCAGAGGCCCCTTCTTCCCTCACTAAATTAATTTTTCAAAATTGTGTGTGTGTGTATGTGTGTGTGTGTGTGTGTGTGTGTGTGTGGTGTGTCCATGTGAGCGGGTGCGCGTGTGTCACAGGGCACAGATGGAACTGGAGAGCCAGCCAATACCCTTCCACTTTGCTTGAGACCACATTTCTCCACAGATGTATTAGCCAGGCTACTGGGAAGTACTGTCTGTCTCTCATCTTACTGTAGGGGTACACTGGGATTGCAGATGCTTGTCCTGCTGAATTCAGCTTTTACGTGGGTCCTGGGAATCCAAACTCAAGCCATCAGGCTTGAGCAGCAAGGCCTTTACCCCATGAATCAGCTTCCCTAGCCCAGGCAATATTTCGTATGAAGGCAATATTGTGACCGAATTGAAGCTGTGTAGTGGAAGTAAGTAGGAAAGTTTCTGGAAAGGGGGAAAATGACACCAGAATCTTCAAAGCAACACACAATTGAATTAGGAGGAGAAAATGTGACTTTCTTCATGTCACCATGAAGGCAATGGGCAATAGTCACATTAACCCCACACTGCATACTTTCATTTGTTGTCTGAAGTAGCAAAGGAGGGCTACTAGGCTCACCTAGTCAAATGAGCGAGTGAAGTGGACAACAGAAAGATAATGACCATGAAATAACACACATGTTTTCACCAGATGTGGATCAGTGTGTGCAGTGTCTAGATCATCAATATGTCAACACAGAGCGAAACCACTGCCTCCAAAAGTCTATGACCTTCCTGGATTATGACGACCCCCTGGGGATAGGGCTGTCATGCACGGCCTTGTGTTTCTCTGCACTGTCAGCTCTGGTTCTTGGGATCTTTGTGAAGAAGCAAGACACTCCCATTGTAAAGGCAAATAACCGCACTCTCAGCTACATCCTGCTCCTCACCCTTCACTTCTGCTTTCTCTGCCCTTTTCTCTTCATTGGCCATCCCAACACAGCCACTTGCATCCTACAGCAGACCACATTTGGAGTGCTGTTCACTGTAGCTGTCTCCACTGTCTTGGCCAAAACTATTACTGTGGTTCTGGCTTATAAGGTCACTGCTCCCGGAAGAAGAATCAGGTGGTTGTTGGTAACACGGGCACCTAACTTCATTGTTCCCATCTGCACCTTCATCCAAATTGTCCTGTGTGGGGTCTGGCTGGGGAACTCTCCCCCCTTCGTTGACACTGACACACACTCTGAACAGGAACACATTATCGTTCTGTGCAACAACGGCTCTGTCACTGCTTTCTACTGCATGCTGGGATATCTGGGAGCTCTGGCCTTGGGAAGCTTCACTGTGGCTTTCCTGGCCAGGAACCTGCCTGACACCTTCAATGAAGCCAAGTTCCTGACCTTCAGCATGCTGGTGTTCTGCAGTGTCTGGGTCACCTTCCTGCCTGTCTACCACAGCACCAAAGGGAAGGTCATGGTGGCTGTGGAGGTCTTCTCCATCTTGGCCTCCAGTGCAGGGCTTCTAGGGTGCATCTTTGCCCCCAAGTGCTACATCATTTTGTTAAGACCAGAAAAGAACTCTATTCAGGGTCTCAGGGACAAAATACATTATAGGTCCAAGTCTTAATACATTTTTAATTAATTTTCAACTTTGTACATAAAGGAAATTTCATTATTACATTTTCATATGTGTATTTCGTTCTTATCCATCGCCCGTACAAACTGATACCCTATCCCCTCTACCTCCTCCTGTTTCTTCCTTATCTTAAAACACTCCTCATTTCTACATTCATACATGTGTTTCCTTACCCCCTTCCCTTTTCCACCTCCCTTACTTTCTCCCCTCTCTCAGCTACTTTCTTCTTTCAGGTTGAGGAGAGAGACAGAAAATGCCAGCCCCCTATGGTATTTATACACATGACTATGGCTTAAGTCACCAAATTTAAAATTTTCCCGTTCCAAAATTTTCCTTTTAAATGTCATGACTTTTATTCTTCCTTAAGGCTGAATTAATGCCAACTGTGAATATGTTCCACATTTACATTATCTGTTCATCCGCTGATGGGAATCTTCATGCTTCCTTTTCTCAGCTACTATGCAAGTACAGTAACAATCATGGATGTGCAAATATCTCTTTAGGTGTCTTCTGGATTTATAAACCTAGCAGTGGTATGTTAGATTGATTGGTAATCCAAATTTAATTTTGTTAGTAACTTCTACATTCTTTTGGCAGTGGTTAAAAAAGCCGTACTAAACATGGAACACGACTCACAAAGGAAAAAAGATGAGGTGTGGGGTCAACTTTCTAAGGTTTTAGACTTTAGAGTCTAGCAAGGAGATTAGCAAACTTGTAGTGCTAACTTTCCCCAATAAGCTGCTGCTGAAATTCATCAACACTGCCACCTCTCTAAAATCCACGAGAGACAGAAAGTAGCAGATGTGCAGGCTACAACACAAAATACAAGAAACATAAAAAGGAAGTCAATATAATTTCTCTAAGAGAGCATAACTCAACTGGTGAACTCAACATTCTGAAATAGGTAAACTATCAAGTGAACATTTCAGAAGTGTTCTTACAAAAATAATAACAATAAGTGACTTCTAAGAGGATACTCACAGGCGGATTAATTCAATGCATATCTTCAATACCTATAGAGAAAGTCATTAATACAGAGGAAAAAGGCAGCAAGACAGATGAAAAATAGGTTCTCATATGGTATTAGTGGATGAATTCAATACCAACCTCTCATAAATAGGGCGAACAAACTAAAAGTCAACAAAGACGCACCAGAGTTAAACTATACCATAGGTCAGATGGACTTACCATATACCTACAGAATATTCCATCTGATCAATATTAGCCATCATATTTGTCTATATACGTTCTCCTTAGTGGGCAGGTCTTCTCACTTCAACTAATCTAATCAAAACATTCTCTTATAGGTATGCCTAGAGGCCCACCTCACACACAGTTAACTATGGAGGTTAATATCACAACAAATCATCCCATTTTAAGAATCCAGCATTACTCTGTACTATGGTTATTAGTAAGATCGGTGTGTATTTTAGGTTTATTGGTCCTGTTTTGTTGTTGTTGTTGTTGTTGTTGTTGTTTTTACATTTACATAAAAAGTATTGGGTTTTACCACAGTCAAGCACTGGGCTAAGCTTCTGGAGTTCATTTGAAGAAGGAGAAGGGATCATATGAACAGCAGTGGTCAAAGTATGAGGGGAAAAACCACAGAGACAGATGACCCAAGCTAGTGGGAGCTCACAGACTGTGGACTGACAGCTAGGGAACCTGCATGGGACTGAACTAGGCCCTCTGAATGTGGCTTCATCTGTTAGAGGGGCCCTAGCAGTAGAACAAAGACCTATCCTAGGTACATGAACTGGCTTTTTGGAGCCATTCCCTATGGTGGGTTACCTTGCTCAGCCTTGATACAGGGGGAGGGGCTTGGTCCTGCCTCAGCTTGGTATGCCAGACTCCCCAAGGAAGGCCTTACCCTCTCTGAGAAGTGGATGGGGCGGTGGGAAGGCTGAGACATGGAGGGCAGGAGAAGGGCAGGGAAGGAGAACCGGGGTTGATATGTAAAATGAAAAAATAAATAAAACAATGAGAAAAAAGTGAGTTTTATTGTGGCATCTTCATACACATGAGTAATTATACTTTGTTCTCATTCATTCACTCATTAGTCTTCCTGTGTCCCTCCCCCATGTGGTCCCCTCCTGGTTGGTTCTCTTCCCCCTTCTGTTTCCATGTCACATGTTTTACATTCTTCAGCTCTCTGAAGATAGCTTCCTCCTCTCTTATGAGCCCTTATATTTTCATGACCTATAAACATATAAATGCAAACACCTATATACACAAATATTGATAATTTAAAATCTAAGTTTTTGCATAAAACATTCAGTATTTGTCTTTTTGAGTATGGCTTATTTTGCCAAGCATGGTTTCCAGTTGCATCCATTTTCCTGAAACTAACATGATTTATTCTTTACAGCTACATGAAGTCCCATTGTGTCCATGTACCTCTCTATGCATGTCCACTCTGTGTTTTTTTTCTTGTTGTTGTTGTTGCTTTTCATGGTTGGTTCTCCGTCCCAGGCTGTCTCAAACTGTTGTAGAATAATCTTTTTGTATACTGTTAATATGTGTCACTCTGGTTGGTTTAATAAAGAGCTGCATGGCCAATAGCTAGGCAGGGCTGTTAGGACATGGAGAACACTGGGAAGAAGAAGGGCAGAGTCGTGAGACTTCACCAGAAACTCAGAGCAGGCAGCATGTGCTTCACGAAGTAAAGATGAATGGACCATTTAAAATAACATAGGTTTTAAAATCTGAGTTAATTTAGGTTATAAGAACTAGTTAGAAAAAGCCTAAGCTATTGGCCAAGCTTGTCTAAGAAGTCTCTGTGTCATGATGTGGGATCTGGCTGGCTAGACAGGGAAGGGACCACAACAAATGGCACCCAATGTGGGCCATGTATATCCACATTAGGCTTGAAAAAGCTTTTAAAAAATAAGAGTTTAGAACACAGAGCCAAACACAGCTTCTTTGTGACCTTAGTTTCTCAGATAGGCTCAGTGTTAGTGTTGTACAGTAGCATGGCTCTTTTAAGAGACCCTGCTACTGAACATTTGAGTGTAGTTCATGAGCAGTGAACGGCACACTACTCGATCGCAGGAGACTAGGTAAAAACGCCTACAGCAGCATGGACCCAGAAACTTCCCAGAGCTGGGGCAGTAAATATGGCTCCAGCCAGGACCTCCATCATGAGGCTAGCCTCTCGGGGAACAGAAGGGTGAGGAGTAGATCCAGCTACAAGCACACCATGAGCAAACCTGCATTTAAGATTTTGCTCATGCAGACAGAAAAGGTTACAGAAACACAGTAAAAACAGGTTCAGATGGAAAAAAATTCTAAATAGGATACAGTGTGTTTAACAATGTATGTAGGCATAAGAAAAAAGGGGGTATAGACAGTCATAAAAGATGAATAGTTTAAAAATAATATTCTTCAAAGAAAGAATGAAGTAATTTTAAAAAGAGTAATCCACACAGAGATGGGAAATAATGCAGGAAGTCAGGACCTCTATGTCATGGTGCTGTCTTTGAACTTTTTGATTGCTGATAAGCAAATGACAGCTACTGGGAGACACAGAATTGTGAAAGGGACTGCTGAAATAACCCGGCCTAGAAACTTTAAGAATGTCTTAACTTTAAAATGGAACTCAAAAAACATCTTGTTTTGGGGAATAGATCGTGCATTTCTTTCCACAGGAAACAAAAGGCTGTTAATTTGTTCATGTTTTATAGAGATCAGATTTGATCATGGATGACCCCCCTGAAAGCCTGGTTACAGACATAAAGAAATAAGCCTGAAATAACCACAAGACAGGTGACAGACGTATATTTTACCTACTCGAGCAAACAAACAAATCTTTGGCTGGCTTGTGTACAATGCACAGTCCTTCCTTGTGTAAAAGCAGATATGTGTGTTACCTTTGAAAGTTTGTGTTTTCAGAGCAAGGGGGCCAGACACCAATGACAATGGGTGACCCAGGTGATCCAGCCTCTCAGAATGTCTCTGTTGCAGTTTCCTCAGAGTTCTGTATCCAGAAGAGCTTCAAGGCTGCTGGCTGAGATGGTTCAACTTCACAGACTATTCCAGCTGGAACTTGACCATTATCCTAATTTTCTCAGGGTCCCCCAAAGATGCCAGCACCCCCCAGACAACAGAAAGCAGCCTAAAGAACACAGCACCCACATTCCCAAGAGGTGGGGTGGGTGTTTGGGGCATTTGTTGGGTTATAGATGCTTGTCATCATTTAGGAGGTTGGTTACAAACTGTTACTTGTCATGGTCAGGAATAAAGCTAAATAAAGGAGATTAGATTCAGGGATCTCTGAAGGGAAAGGGGAGATATAGTATAGACATGATGGAATGAAATGTGGATTTTGAGTCTACTTTTGAAAACAACTGTCTCAAATATTTTACATTGGTATGCAGTTTTAGATATTTATATGAATTAAAGGTTATTTTTCTTTTATCAAATTACATTTCTACTCTTGTTTGGAGTATTGTTCTTATGCAGTTTATTTAAAATGTAACGTATAACTAAGAAATGCAGGTTAGTGGTTTGTCATCTATAATAATCAAACTTGTAGTAATATTAGGTATATTTTCAAAGTTAAACCAATATATATATAGTCTTCAAATACTTCAAAGACCTATAGAATATGGCATTTAAGATGTTTAATAACCTGAGGCTTTTCTTAACAGTGAGGCATGTCTGCTCCTGGCAGCACCAATTTACTTCAGAGAATATGATGGGAATCAAAGAAATTCTTATTATTATAATTCAAACTTATAAAGTTTGTTTTCATTATGGCAAGGTTAGCCACTGGGCAAAGAAACTGTTCTTTCCTTGACTGCTGACAATATACTGTACAAACTGAACACAAAGTAAGAAGACTATTTAACTTTGCCAAGATAAGGCAGGACAGTCCTTCAAAATTCAAATAAAAGTCTACCAGTACAAACTGGACAAGCAGAACACAAAGGAAAATTTGCCAAGGTAAGACAGGGCAGTACTTACAAAGTCCTGCTTCATAGAAAAGCCTG